CTCAGGCCCCTTGTATAAAATGGTGGATACAGAGGGCCATTTGTATTCCTGTAGCCAGTATTGCCTGTAGCATTTTATTTGTATAGCATTGCCAACTGTATGGCTATACCACTACCAGTTCAACAGAGAGTCTGTGTAGCAAAGTGAAATAATCTTTTTTCCAATCATACAATAGTAAGAACTCAAATTAATTTCTCAACAACTGGGAAGTTTTGGTAGAATCATTTAGAAAATAAGCAAGTTCCTGTTAGAACACAAGGAAATTAAATCTATGAGGAGGAAGAATCAGCTCCCTTTTGAAGGTGAGGGGGTGGTAGAAGTATTAAAAGAAGTGAAGGCTCTCAGAGGAAGGGTCAAAGCCAAGGAGGTTAAAGAATTAAAGAGATCTATGTGCAGAAATGATTAATGAAAAACATAAAAGTAAAGAAAAACAAATTGAAGAAATTGAAACAAACATTGAAAATCAGAAACCAAATTGGAGAAGCCTTTATACACAGATCCAAGATGGTGGAAACATAAGATTAAAGCCAAAATGAAGTCATTGCTTTACATTCTTAGATTTTACGAGAATACAAAAGAGTATTGGTAGGTAAAAACATTCAGATTTCCTTAGAAGAATAAGATTGAAAGCTAGAAGAATTCTTTGTCAAATCATTTTAGGAGCTAGATAAGAAATTTGGAGGTTGGGTTGTGTATGTGGAAAGAAGAGGTATCAGATGCCTGTAATTTTACAGTGTCAAAAAGATGAACAGATAATTTTGTAGCAGACATCTAGATTCTAAAAGTGAGCAACATAATAAAATTACTGTAGAAGGAAAAGAACTTCTTGGTTTAATGGTCTACCAGCTTGGCTCTGTAAGATCTTTGAGCGAATCCATGGCACCTCTGTTCAAAGGCATATGGAAGGTAAGATAACTAGCACAGTCAAACTAGTGTTACTAGGAAGTAAGAGAAATAGGGAACTGGTACCTGCTGATAGTACTCACCACTGAATGTAAGATTTTTGTGAGAATCCTGCTGGAAATGTTGACAGAGATTAATAGTGGACATGAGATACCAAGGGAACAATATGCCATACAGGGGGCCTGAGAAGCTAACTGAAAAATCCTTACATGGCAAAGGAATGAGGTGGGAAATAAATTCATTCTACTTAGATTAAGAAGGGCTTTTATTTAGACAAACTATGATTTTCTCTTTAATACCAATTAAAATACATTGTTCCAGAGCAGCTTTTGAAATGTGAGGACTTTATATATAAGTCACGGGAATCACCGTCTTCATTCTCAATAAAGATTGAAGAGAAAAATAGCGATAAGAATAAAGCAGTACCACCCATAATATCCTTTACTACTATTGTAGTCTATAGATTGAATTTCCCCTCCTCCATTAAAAATAATTTTTTTTTAGAGTGTAAGGATATAAAAGAGACAGTCCAGGGAAGCTGAGGCCACTCATTGCCTGGAATTCAAGAATAGCATCTCTCTAGCAGTTTCAAAAGCAAGTTTAAAATAAAAGAGTACAGAGAAGCTAGAATAGCATCATAAAAATGGATAAAAAAACAAAGTAATGCAAACTTGTTGAAAGTAGGAATAAAGGCTGGCTATGTTCTTTGGAGGGGCAAAAAAATGCAAAAAGAAATTGGATTGTGAAAATACAGTAATCTCCACTATCCACAGGTGATCCATTCCAAGACCCCCAGTGTACACATGATCCACGGATAGCACTAAACCCTATATACTATGTCTTTTACATACATGCATACCTATGGTAAAG